TTGTTGCCTTTAGGTATTAGGTATATTTGGGGTCATTGAACATGACATTAAAATAATTTCAACATCAACAAGCGCTAAATGGAAGCAAATTTATATGATCACTATCTTGCATTACAGTGTCCTTTGAAGCATAATGGTAAACACACGGACTTAATATTTACATGACTGAATCTAGCCAAGTTGCTGCCTATAAATCCCTTAAAAAGTAGGAGCTCATTCTAGGACTCAAACATGTTCACACTTTACCTTGTAAAAGATAAATAAATAAATAAACAGAGGAGAAAATTATTCCACGTAAATTAGTGAAAAAACACTATTAGAAGAGAGAATGAAATGTTCCTCAAAAGAAAGACAGAAAAAGGGAAAATAATAAGAAACAAACTCAAAATAATGCGTGACACTCATACTTTATGCATTGTGACTTTTTTACAAAGTTAAATAGATGGAGTTCTTATGATACATAAAAATAAAATAAAAAAATCTATAAAAATTTCTAATAAATTTATAGTGGGCACATATAAGGTCATGACTGATACAATAAATATAGTAGGTAGATCATTTACTCATTAACACTGTAATTTGCTAGTTGATGATGTGCTCAACTATGAGAGAGTATGCCTGTCATGCAATCAATGTCATGAGAGCTACTTCCATATCGGTGCCAAAGGATAATGAGAAGAAGTCACCCAAAATAGAAACAAAATTTATGTACACTTTGGTGTACAACAAATGCACCTAATAACTAGACCACCTACCACCAATCTTCCAGTTTTGCACACAATATTACAACCACTCAACCACAAGTTCATACATTTGTGGGAGATAATCAAAGATACATATAAGTTGATTTATTATAGAAAAGTCATAGTTGTTTGATATCAATGACAAGTAATTTATTAGTGAACCTGGTCTCAAGTCCCTAAAAGACATTGTTTCCTGATTGGTTAGCAATAATAAACCTCAGCTAAATGACTCATAATTGTCATGCTTCCCAAAAGTCATTTTCTAAAATAGCTTTGTTGCTCTCATATATTATAAACTCTTGTGTCTATCAGCACTTAAAAAAGGTAATTGTCTCACTTCCTAAAAGTTGTTTATTTTCTAAAGCCATCAACATCTAATCTGGGACATAATTCAGAAACAGTTTCATTGTTATCACAATTAATCATTCCTTCAACTTGAACCAGCCATAGCTGCTTCCATCTGTCTCCATCAGCAACAAACTCTACACTTAATTCATCCATCTAAGCCTCTAATTGAGTCAAAGCTTTTTTGAAAAAAAAAATCATGTATGAATAATCCATCACAAGACATGCAATCAAATCACTGGCATAAGATTCAACCCATCCCAACTGAATCAAATGCTTTATACATTCTAATAAAGCCATCGATTACGAGATATCAAGACAAAGAGCTTCGAAGACTGATGATTATTGAATCAGATAAAATAAATTTCTCATACGGACTAAAAGAGATATCTATGAATCCTAAAATTGGGAGATTGATGCAATTTGAAATCAAGAAAAGACACAGCAAGCAATAGTGAGAAAATAAAGAGCAAAGAAGTTGTGATTTCACCATAAATCACTGATAAGTGTAGCAAATTTTTGGAAAAACCGCAATAAAATCTATCAAAACAAAAAATAGAATATGAAAATCGCCTTACATTTTGGAATTGATAGCCAAAAACAAAGAGAGAGAGAGAGAGAGAGAGAGAGAGAGAGAGAGAGAGAGACGGTAGTGCTCACCTTAGTAGAGACAATGGTGCTCGCTCCCCTCGCCGGTGCAGATGGTGGAGGCGGTGGAGCTTCGAAATCTCAAAATCGAAATTGCCAATCGCTCTGAGATTGGATCTGAGATGAATCACCAATCGCTCTGAGATTAGATCAAACGGGGCTGAAGAAGGTTGATTCGATTGGTTGAGAGAGATTAGGGTTTAGAGAGGGCTGAGAGAGAGAGCGAGAGAGAGAGAGAGAGAGAGAGAGAGAGAGAGAGACCCAGAGAGTGAGTGAGAGAGTAACGGGGCAATGTTATGAGTAAGTTTTTAAATATTTTAAATAAATTTTTTTTTTTACTTTTTAACTTCAAATAATTTACATATACTTAAAAGAAAAATATTTTTTAATTTTTTTTAAAAAGTCACTAAATTCAAAAAAATATATATAATTTAATACATTTCATATATATTATATTTTATTTTATTTTTTAATTGTATTTAGATTAGGCACATCTAAAAAGTAAAAAATAAATAAATTATTAAAAGAAGGAAAAATATCAAATCAAGGTAATTTAAAAAAAAAATAATTACAAATTAATGAGAAACCATACAAATATTAATTATTAAAGTTATAAACTTTTTCATGACTATGTAATTTTTTTTTCTCAAAATCCCACTGGGTGCAATTATCCCTTAACAGAGACACTAAATTATAAAATAACGTTTTTTACATTGCCCTCAATTAGGAAAATGTAAGGTGAGAAGCTTGGTTGGAAATTGTTAGTTTTTTTAAATCAAAAAAAAAATTCGGATTGAAATTTTTTTTAATAAAAGTTTTCACGACATGATAATGCTGAAAATATACATTTTTTACGGCATACTTTTGCATGCCATAAAAAAATTTTGAATTGAATTTTTTTGTTTTTGCAAAAGTTTTCACAACATGTTAATGCATGCCGTGTAAAGTTATAATATTTTATAACATAAAATGTATGTCGTCTTAAGTGCAAATATTTTACGGCATATTTTTGTAAGTTGTAAAAACATACATTTTTTACGGCATACTTTTGCATGCTAAAAATATATGAATCAACGACTTACATGGTATGTATGCTGTTATTGACAAAACATTAACGGCTTGCAAAAAAAAAATAAAATGCCGTAGAATGTACTAACTACGACATGCATTTAATGCATGTCGTAAACATGATGTCGTGAATAGTTAGTTTTGTTGTAGTGTCGTTAGGCATCATTAACAATATTTTAACCTCCTAAGACAAATCATGCTACATTTTGAGAAAAGATAACAATTTCAATATGCTTGAATGACCAAAGATCACATAATCTAAGCATCAGATTCCTAAAATTTGCATCCACTTACATACAAATACATGTACAAATGATGTATGTTATGTGTGTGCAGTTGAATTTATTGTAAATGACCGTTGTTTGATCCAGTCAGAGAAAATAAGGCTTATAATTAGAGGATACGTGAAAGATGTTACATAATCTAAGCATCAGATTTAGAAATCATCAAAGTTACATGATAACGTAAGCTACATTCTATGAAATAATCCATAGGCTAAGAAACGAATGATATACTTACAGCATTACAGCAGTAGGCCGTCAAGGACAAAACAGAAGTGCTGAGACAACCTTTGCTATTTATATCGGTGCCTTTAGCGACTTGCAGTATGGTGCAATGAAGGCAAGATAGTGAGTCGACGGGGAAGACCCAAAGCAAACAGAAACGATCTTCAGCTAGATGAAGCAAGGATGATGTAAAAAGAAAATCACCACACCTGAGATGGTGATCAATCTGCAGATCTTCTATGGGTCTTGAGAAGAGCATTTTGTTGTTGAGATTGTATGCATTTAGCTCATGATCGACGCAGTATAGCATATTGCCAACTACTACTGGTTGGCTTAACGTGAACAGAGAAGGATTAAACTTGAAATCTAACCAGCAATTATGTGCAACATCATACTCATAAGCAACAATAGAGTGCTGTAATCCCACCACAATCTTGTTGGAAGCTTTACGAGCTACAGCAAATAAACAACCATAACCATAAGTAGGAAGAGATAGGGGTGAAGGTAGAGCTGTCCATTGACCCCCCTGACCACCCCCATCATCATCAGGCCCACTTGGCTCAAACCTCAGCCTAATCACCACCACAATCCAAGCCGCCACCAAAGACGTATAACTTGCCATGGAGAGTGACAACTTTAGCTTCTGATCTGGGATTAATCTTGGGAGAAGCTTCCTTCCAGCCTTCTGTGGGACGATTAACATCAAAATATTGGACTTGGCGAGTGCGACCATCATCATCGCCACAGTTTCGAAAATGACGACCGCCAATACAGTAGATGATGGAGCCCAGGGCAGCCGAGGAGGAGGCATCCACTACAACAAAATTGAATATTTACGGCTTGCAATGCATGTACTAGAAATTCTTCCACGGGATGCACACAAATGCCGTTATATGACATGCTGTGGAAAGTTGAGCATCATTTACGGCATGCAGGTAAAGTTGTAAAAAGTAATAAATTAAATATTAATGATAATAGTATCAATTACGCCATCACTACAACAAAATTGAATTTATACAGCTTGCAATGCATGCCGTAAAAACTCTTTCATGGCATGCACACAAATGTCGTTATATGACATGCCATGGAAAGTTGAGTATCATTTACAACATGCAGGTAAAGTTGTAAAAAGTAATAAATTAAACATTAATGACATACTTTGTATGTCGTATATAATTTTTTACGACATTTTTGTCATGCCATAAATCATCATACTTTCCATGGCATAATTTTGCATGCCGTAGAAGGTTATTTTGAATATATTTATGACATACTTTATATGTCGCATATATTATTTTACGATATTTTCTTGCATTTCATAAATCATCACACTTTTCATGGCATAATTTTGTATGTCGTAGAAGGTCATTTTTAATATATTTATGACATACTTTGTATGCAGTATATAATCTTTTACGGTGTTTTCTTGCATGTCATAAATTATTACACTTTTTATGACATAATTTTATATGACGTAGAAGATTATTTTTAAAATGTAATATATATATATATATATATATATATATATACAGAAATATAACACTGCCTAACAGTATGCGACATTATCTTATAAAATGCAACCTGTGAACAAACCAAGCTGAAGCAACAACTATGAAGTAAGTAAAAAAAGCTAATATCCATACACCAAACAACCTGCATACTAACTACCATCCTCAACTTCTATCATATTAAGCTGATAACAACCTCAAATATACAAACCAAGAAAAGAATCCAAATCATAAGGTTCACTAATCTCTAAAATACAACTTTAAACATCCAAAAAGTATAACTACAAATCGTAAATTAATTAGTCTAATATTTAGTCCAAAAGAATGAATTGACTAGAATTGACTCTAAAATATGAAATGTTGCATGCCTGCGCAGTCTGAATTAAAGAGGTTTCAGTTATGATCCTTTCTTCGACCAGAATTGACTCTACATGAAGCAAGTGGATATCAATGGAATGAATAGGAACTATAGACACTTCAACTGTTAGCTCGCCCTTAAGAGGATCAAACATTGAGCACTGAGTGCCAATTTTACCAGTTACTTGGAAACCATCTAGTCAGCAACAACTATTGTCAATATGACAATCTTAGTGTTGCAATGAGCTAACTTTAAGAGGTCCCTACCAAATGCAAAACAATAATGATCACCGTTTTGCTAAAAATGTATCAGCAGGCCCTTCGACTTTTATCAACCTTCATGCTTATCAGTGTTTAAAAAAACTATAACTACAAGGTTCGTAAGGACATGGAAGCTGGAAAAATGTTACTTTAGCCCTTTGTAATTCATAAAAACTAGAAAGAGAGGGGAAATGAGAACAAGAAACAACCTGATCTTAGTTCAGGAAGTAATGAATCTCTTTGCGTGTCCTGAGTAATGTAAAATATGACCAGTTCAGGAGACACTGGTTAATCAAGGAGACTAGCTGAAGAAAACACCACAGCAAAATGGAAGCTAATTAAGTACATTGATTATTTTGTACAAGAGAAATCAAGAAATAGAATATGCATGTACCTTTCTCACTCTCAATTATGAACTCCATAGTGGCAGACAATGACTTGTGCAGGTATCCCCTAACTACGTCTATAGTTACCTAGGGAATTCAATTTAAGGAGGAATGGCATCTCGCAGCTTATTCCACCTCAAATTGCTGGAAAGAAATAAGAAAAGAAAAATACTGTAAGTAAATAGAAAATTAGAAAACAAAAAACATCAAAGAAAGTCGGGTAGAGTTCTCAAAATTGGAGAAAATGTTTTCCACATGAAGTGGTTGGAAAAAAAAATTTGTTGTATGAATATGTAGAGCATCAATCTAAAGAAGTATTATGGAATGAATAATAAGACATTATATCTAAAGACATGTAGAAAAAAGACTACAATTTTAGGATGTGAATGAGACATACATTTATCAATGTAAACGCACTTCAAATAGACCTTGCTCCAGCAATTAGGAACTAGCTAAATAAAACTTTTAAAAAAAAGTTTATAACAATAGTAATAATAATCCATCCTAGGGGCAATTAGCCCATCCTATTCAGAGGCCAAAAATGCATTCAGACTAATACTATATAACCCATAAAATCATAATAAAAGGACTCTTATCTTTCCATGTTCAATGTCAATTCCAGCACCAACACCATCAACAGCCACCAAAGAGAGAGATGAACATGCTTGTTTCTGGGTCCTCAAATAATAGGGGACAAAGATGATGACCAAGAACACACATAAAAAAGAAATACAAATGGAAAAAGAATAGGTAAGCATGTCTGAGTAAATGATACTCCTCTGCATAGGACATATTTTATCCACTAGATTTGGGGATAAGGCTATCATTACCTATGATAGAGCACATTAGCATTTCCATATTAGTATCACACTACTTCTCTAAAAGATATAACAAATTGTGATGAGAAGTATCAGAAACACATAGCATTCACAAATGTAATGTAGGAATGAAGGAACATCTTTCTAGCCTTGTTCTAGCTTACATCTAACAGCACTGCTATTTGCCAAGTCATTTTAACCTTGGAGATTAGGTCTGCCGTGTCATTGCAATTATCCAGTAGGTCACAGATGTGCTAAAAGCGTATTATGTGCTAAATTTTGAAATTAATTGTATATCATCATATAAAATAGAATGCATACAGGTCCAGTTACAGAGGCCCTATGTAGCAGTGACTTCTGATACCATAGTTAACATTTACGCGAAGAGCTATTTTCTCAAGCTTGTTCATGGCAGAAAAGTGTGTCAAGTGGCTTAAGACTGCAGGGTCAAGAGGCTTATCGGGTGCCACTCCATCAACCTGAACCCAAGGATGGCCTACAAAGAAACCAAAGGCTCATTAATGCGCCATTCCAAATGTCTATAATAAAGCAATTTCTCACCCACAAAAAAAATTGTCATCTGCCTTTCCTCTAAGTTTTTAGCATAAAAGTTTTCTCACAATGTTTTTGTTTAATCCTATCAAAACCATTTCCTAGAAAAGGAATAGAATTTAACCATCTATTGAATGCTATAGCTTTATTCAATGCTTATATTTGGTTTAGTATTTTTCTACTGGGCTGTGGCTCACCCTTTATGGGAACATCATTTTCAGGTTCAGGTGATAAGCTACCTCCAAGGACTTAGCTTGGGAGGATGTGACTTTTGGATTTTGAAGACTACCATTAATTAATTGTTTTTATTTGTTAGTACATGTAAACATTCAAGCCTAGGGCTTTACGTGTATTTGAGTTAGAACTCATATTTTTGTGTCCAAGTGTTGGCTTGGAAAGATGTAAGCCTGTAGGGCATTTCATTTGATGTTACATGTAATGCTTTATTTAGTAATACTCTGATGAATGATTTAATAAATTGTTTTCTTTAAACATTGCATATCGATGATATATAGATAGTGGGTTTATTTTGAGGGCGTGACAGGTTGATTGTACATTTCACAATTATGTGAGAAGGAACTCCATTACTCCTTTTGCATGAAACTCTCTCTATTATCTAGTAAGGAAATCCGTTGTATCATTTTTCTTTTAATTTCTTGGAATGAAAAATATCTGTCACTTCTTGATTTCTAGAATCTTAAATGAGTTTCGAATATTGTGGTTGCACCTAATACTTTCATGTTGAAATCATTTTATCTTTTTTACATTTTTGCTTACTAAATTGAGCAGATTGAAAAAATCAGTGTGTGTATCCTCATCTATGTTTGATGTTTATGTAGTTGGATTTGTGTTGATTAGTAGCTGACTCGGTTAGATAAAAATCTGTGTTTGGATTTATGGCCTTTTTTAGTTGTGGCAAGTAACAACTGTGGTAGGATTTATTTTTCTCATGCCTTTCCCTCAGTTATCTTCCATTCCTCCATGTCCCTGACATCATTATTCTTATCATTAGAGTTTCTTCATCATCATTGTCATTGTTGTTTCGTTTCATTATTGTTTGTTATTATTTTCATGCAGGTTAAGACTACAAACTCCAGTGTTGCTGGGATAAAGCGCAAATTTGAAGCATCAGTAGCTGAATGTGGAGATGGTACTCCCTCTGTGAATGTGGGCAAAGAAATACAAAAAGAGTAGAGTTGTGCTCTCAGTCATGTCACTGTTACATGTGAGCGGCTTCTGCAGGAACATCTGAAGGGAAGGAAGCACAAGGCAAAGGAGAGGGCATTACGGGAAAGCAATACAAAAGTGAACAATAATGCCAACAATTCAAATTAGTTGGTTGTGCCTGTGCCTGTCCCAAGTGGCCATATGAAGCCAAACCTAGACGGGCACCGGGATGGAAATCATGAAAAAATGAATGATATGGACAATGTGGCTAATGGAGTGCAGCAAAAAGCAAACTTGGAGAAGATAAATGGTGGTGCCGAAGAGAGTGAAATGAAGAAAAATTTTCTTGTGCTTCAGGTCTTCGAATTGGAGAATCCAAAAAATCAAGGCTCACAACAACAAAATAGTAGCATCGGATTGCCATAAAAATCCCATAAATTCGGATCAAATCAACTGATGGAAGCTGCTTTCTTTCATTGCCATCAATGTATATATATAGATATTGGGAGGTGTAATTAGTAAATTAGTGATTGACATAATCTTTGGTAGGACTCCATTGCCTCTATAAGTTTTGATTATAATAACTAACTCTGATTTTTATCTTGCATGTTTTTTATAGCTATGATACCGCCACCATTTTCTTGCAACAAAGTTATGTGCTCCTTTCCCCCATCTGATGAGCGGTCATCAACACTTCGGTCCCAACTTTACACATTATGCACCAGAATTTGAAATTAGACTCCAAATTTGCCTACATTTCACTCTCTTCGGCACCACCATTTATCTTCTCCAAGTTTGGTTTTTGCTGCACTCCATTAGCCACATTGTCCATATCATTCATTTTTTCATGATTTTCATCCCGGTGCCCGTCTAGGTTTGGCTTCATATGGCCACTTGGGACAAGCACAGGCACAACCAACTGATTTGAATTGTTGGCATTATTGTTCACTTTTGTATTGCTTTCCCGTAATGCCCTCTCCTTTGCCTTGTGCTTCCTTCCCTTCAGATGTTCCTGCAGAAGCCGCTCACATGTGACAGTGATATGACAGAGAGCACAGCTCCACTCTTTTTGTATTTCTTTGCCCACATTCACAGAGGGAGTACCATCGCCACATTCAGCTACTGATGCTTCAAATTTGCGCTTTATCCTAGCAACACTTGAGTTTGTAGTCTTAACTTCCATGAAAATAATAACAAACAATAATGAAACGAAACAACAATGATAATGATGATGAAGAAACTCTAATGATAAGAATAATGATGTTAGGGGCACGGAGGAATGGAAGATAACTGGGGGAAAGGCATGAGAAAAATAAATCCTACAACAGTTGTTACCTGCCACAACTAAAAAAGGCCATAAATCCAAACACATATTTTTATCTAACTGAGTCAGCTAGTAATCAACATAAATCCAACTACATAAGCATCAAACATAGATGAGGAGACACACACTGATTTTTCCAATCTGCTCAATCTAGTAAGCAAAAATGTAAAAAAAATAAAATGATTTCAATATGAAAGCATTAGGTGCAACCACAATATTTGAAACTCATTTAAGATTCTAGAAATCAAGAAGTGACAGATATTTTTCATTCCAAAAAATTAAAAGAAAAATGATACAATGGATTTCCTTACTAGATAATAGAGAGAGTTTAATGCAAAAGGAGAAATGGAGTTCCTTCTTACATAATTGTGAAATGTACAATCAACCAAATCCAAGCATATGTTTTTTAGTTGAATAAAAAATCAAATTGACTTAAAATTTGAGAATTGTATTTGATTGAATCAAAAATGGAGAAGTACTCCTAAATGATGAATTTTCCTATTTTGGTCAACTATTTAGATAGAACGTCTCAAAAATAGTTAAGGTAAAAGAAAATAAATCTTTTTAAAAAAAAATTAGAAAACAAATTTATTTAGAGTAAATATAAGTACACCATAGAAACAGGGAAGACTTTGTTGCTATCAACACAAAACAAATATACCCCCAGCTAGCAGAGTGATTATAAGGTTGTTGGTAAAAAAAATAACTCCTAAAACCCAGAAACATAAAACAAATACATATAAAAATAAAAACATTCAAACAAACTCAGCAAGCTCAACCAAATTCTTTTTAACACCTCTGATACCCTTCAACCTAACTCCATGATTTTTTCACCACAAATTGACAAATTTCCAGCATCCATAAGATTCCCAAAGAATTTCCAACCGGTAGAGACCTAAAACCAAAATGCCCATTTTTAGGAACGCACTTTGTCAGAACCTATAAATATAATGCAAATGTAGTAATAAACATCAAACTAACTCCACTGGTTGTGCTGTTCATGAAATTTATCAATTATCAATTTATTGTTCTGATCTATTCATTTCAATTTTTATGCATCAGGTTCGCAATTACGGCCCACCTCCCGATATTAACAATAGTATTTTTTTTTGATAAATAAATAATATTAACAATAGTATTAAGGTTAGTATGGTACTGCAATGTCTTTTACATTCGCACTAATTGATCTTTGCTAACCAGTGGCCATTCCGAAGGGTAGACTAGAGTCTATGGCTGGGATCAAGGTGCTTATAGTGTTGGCCTATGCAATTATAGGGAGGAAAAAAAAAAGAAGAAGAAAAATAAAAAGAGAGCATTATATTATCTACAGTATGCCATGCTTCATATTCATGAGAAATTATGTATTAGATGGGGAAGCATAAATAATGTTAGCAACTCTAATTTCCAATTCTATATATTTTTAGTATACGTTTGTCTGAAGCATAACACAATCGCCAAATCCCAATAGGATTTTCTCAATCTCTAACTGTTTAACCTTGCAGATGGAAGTTCGGATTAAAGATCGCCTTCATATAGAATTTGAGCACAATAAAAGCAAGTAAGAAAGAATGACAAATTTGTGTTTTTGATTAGTAATTTATTATCTGTGGCTTACTATGCTCTTGTTCAGACACCTAGTAATAATTAAACTTTGTTAATCCAATAAACTGAATCTTGATAAAAAAGAAAAAAAGAAAAAGAAAAGGTAGCTCCTGGTTGTTCTGTTCAACTGGGTTGGGTAGGACACTAAACCTAGGTCCCACTTCTTCAATCAATCAAAGCTTCTTATAACTTAAAGCTGATATTAAGCCATATGTATTAGCTTCATAAATAATTTATCACGTGATGCATTGATGCTTGTTGAGACAGACTTGTTCATGTTTGACCTTGTTATTAACTAATAGATAGCAATTATAAGAGTAACTAGTACTTCAAGCACACACTTCATCCCCTATTAATGAATTTATTATAGTCAGTCCAATAATTTTCAAGAAATTAGTAGCGGATTGGATTATCACTTCAAATAAAATAATTTATCCAAGCATGATACCTTGGATGCCTTGTTGAGACAGACTTGTTCATGTTTGACCTTATTATTAACTTTAATAGATAGCCATTAATAAAGTAACTAGTACTTCAGCACACACACACTTAATTCCCCATAATTTGTCAAACTCAATATTAATGAAATTTATTTTTAGTCCGGTCAAATAATTTTTCAAGAAATTACACTAATTTTCTTTACAATAAATTTGTGTACAATGATTCTTCACAACAAAGTCAAGACAATATACAAAGGTCCCTACGGATGATTCTTCCCATCTCCCCTAGTTCTTGCAAACATATTGTTTTCCATCATCCTCAACCATTAACCCTCTCAAACAACTTCCGTCAGGTTTCTGAGATTTTCAGGCAGATAATTTCTACGGTAACCTTCTGCAAAAATTCCTTGGAAATTTTCAGACTATGTCCTCTACTTAGCTAGAATTTCATTAAAGCTTTAAATTA